CTCCGTCCGAGGCGCGTCCGCGTAGCCAGACTCGGCGTTGGGGCCTCGCGTCCTTCACACCCGCCGCCTTCTTGCCCCGCAGACCAGGAGGTGCGCGAAGGAGAGGCCCGCCTACGCCCCGAGCAGCAGCGACGATGAAGGTCCGTCAAAGGAGGGCGGCGTCACCTACAAATCGACAAGGTCGGCGGTAAGGACGGGGCAAGAATGTGGTTCTGGGCGGTGAGGTCAGGTGGGACCGGCAGATCCCACACTTGGTAGTGAGAATTTGCCTCAGCGAACGTGGGATCGGCCGTTCCTTCTTTTTTATCTACAGACACACCTCCTTGTCCCTCCCCTCTGAATAGACAAGCACCTTGTGCTGCGTTTATTCTCCTGATAGCCCCTGCATCCACAGGAGGCCACCGAAGGTTGGCCTTTCCCTCTCAGAGTTGGGAATTAAAACCCCAAGGTGCCGCTGGACTTGCCCAACGTGGCACAAGGTTTTCAGGAGCAGGACCGCTTGGCTCAGCTTTGCCCTACTGGTGGGTTCGTGTTTCCAGTTTTAGACAGTCTTTCTTCGAGGTGACTTAAGAGGTTGATCCCCTCTTTACCTTTGTGACTAGTGAGGGAGGAAGAGCTACTGAGAGAGGTCGTTGTTTTCTTGGGATTGATGGGCGGGATGTCCTGTTAATGTCTGGAGTGGAGAGAAATCAGCTGTGAAGGTTTGGGCACAGCTCAGATTGCTCTTCCTCTACATTTTTCCCTTAACTTTCCTCTTGACCCAGTGAAGTTTTGCCCATCAGTGTGAGCCTGGGCAGGGTATAAGTAGGGTTAGAAGCAAGTGCCAACAGATGTTCCTCTTCAGACCTGTTTCCTTATTGTCTGTGCCTCTGTATAAAATGGGAATAATGCCTGTCCCCAGGCAAGGCGGCAGGGTCAGACCGAGGTCTCCTTGTCACATTAGAGATTCATGTGATAACCTCGTGCTGTAATTACTCACTGCTTTGACTGCTGCCACGGGGGCAGCATGTTGTTAGCCCTTCCTGCTGTAGGAGAGTGGGAAGGGAACAGGAGGAGGGGACAGCTTTGGGACTCCAGTGGGAAGGGAACAGGAGGAGGGGACAGCTTTGGCACTCCAGAAGCTTTTGGCACCTCAGTTGGATTTGGTTTCAGTTGAGGCTGGCTGTAATTACTCTTTGGTTTCTGTGCAGCTGCTCCTGAAGATGTGCTAAAAGCTGGGAATAGGTATCTGTTCAGTCTATAAAGAGGAATCTAAACCCCATCGCTGTTTTGAAACTGAATGTAAGAACAGGAGGAGGGGACAGCTTTGGCACTCCAGAAGCTTTTGGCACCTCAGTTGGATTTGGTTTCAGTTGAGGCTGGCTGTAATTACTCTTTGGTTTCTGTGCAGCTGCTCCTGAAGATGTGCTAAAAGCTGGGAATAGGTATCTGTTCAGTCTATAAAGAGGAATCTAAACCCCATCGCTGTTTTGAAACTGAATGTAAGCCACCCACAGCTGGGTTAACAGTTCGGACATAGCATCCTGTGGGTAGGATGGTCTCATGAATGAAATGTGGGACGTGGCAGACCCGAGTTCAGCTTCCAGCTAAGCTGAGCATGAAGGTGTGAAGTAAGGACAGGTGCTTCCTGACTCTGCAGGCTAACACTTGGGAGCAGGGATAATTAGTCCTCTCACCTCTGCAGGCTGGATCTGGCCCATGGGGCGTTGCCCTGGCAGGTGCTAAGGGGGGGGTGGAGCAGGCCATGTCCAGTGCTCGCTCTGTGACCAACCCTTCAGGTAGGCAAGGAGCTCTCTGTCTTGTACGGGTTTTCTCTTCACTGTTGGCACGAGTTCTTCTTGCTTTTCAGAAACCTGTTGGCCCAGAAGATATGGGAGCCACAGCAGTTTATGAACTGGACACGGAGAAGGAGAAAGATGCCCAGGCCATCTTTGAGCGCAGCCAGAAAATCCAGGAGGTGAGTCAGCCTTGCTCTGTAAAAGCTAGTGCTCTGCAGCAGGAGTACATGTGCTTTACTCATACCCTGCTGCACACCGATGAGAGTTTGAGACTCTTCCTCCCTGGAAATCTGAGAAGGCCCTTGCAAAGAGGGGAATTTTCTGGCTTTATTGGCATCTTGGTATTGAGGAAGGCAGGGCTGGGAAGGGAGACTGGTGCCTGAGTGATGAGAGCCAGTCTGTGCCATGAAGCTTTCCTGATCCTTAATCACCTTTCATTTTGCTTTTCTAGGAGCTGAGAGGAAAGGAAGATGATAAAATTTACCGTGGTATTAACAACTACCAGAAGTATGTGAAGCCCAAGGACACATCAATGGGAAATGCCTCCTCAGGAATGGTCAGGTAAGTTGGGATGAGCCTCAGCGGACTGCGACCACAGAGGAGCTCAGGCACCACGCCCAAAGGCATCTGTCTGGGGCTTGATCTGTGCCGTTACTGCGAGCTTCTTTCTGCCTAGCGCGTCCGTGTCTGGTTCTCACCAGGCCCACAGGGATCTTCTCCACTGTGGCTGCGCAGCCGGCCTGAGCTTTCTCCCACCCTTTCAGAAAAGGACCCATCCGTGCTCCGGAGCACTTGCGGGCCACGGTGCGGTGGGATTACCAGCCCGACATCTGCAAGGACTACAAAGAAACGGGGTTCTGTGGCTTTGGGGGTGAGTGGATCATGCCTGTGGCTGAACCCGTGCTGTGGCAGGTCTGCAGAGGGATCTACACGCAGTTTGTGGTGCTGCGTTCGTGCCGCCGGGTGTGCGCTTACTGACTTACGGGCGCCTGTTGGCGGAGCTGGCGTGTGATGCTGTTGCAAAGTTGTATGTAACGCTCTTGTCATCTGTGCCGGCCCTTCCGAAAGCTGATGGCCTCGATCAGTCGTTACGCGAGTCCTGGGTAGGCCCCCGGGGGGGTTGCAGTGACCCACATTCCCACAGGTGTTCTGGCTGCTGAGGCCGTGTGCAGGATGAGATTTCCTGTTCCTTATCCCGCTTCCCATGTGCGTAAATGCGGGAACCGTCGCTGTGGCACACAGACCGCGATCCCTGCGTGGGATCCTGTGCCTGCTCCGGGAGTTTGGGGCCGCCCTGGAGCACAGGGGGGCGGGAAGCAATCAGGTTTCACCTTCTGCTGGGCAAAGCTCAGGCTGCCCCTAAATGACGTGTCCTGTTAATGCTCCAGCCCGCACAGCCTGGCTGTTAATTCCCCTTTCTTTGTGCTGCTCAGACAGCTGCAAATTCCTCCACGATCGCTCGGACTACAAACACGGCTGGCAGATCGAACGGGAACTGGATGAAGGCCGGTACGGAGTCAATGGTACGGCACCACCCCTCTGCTCTCCCTCTCCCTAAGGTACCGGTGGGTGAGTCTGTCAGGTCCTGTCTTTTATCATGTCGTGAGTGGGACTTAGGGATGTTGGATCATTAAGAATGAAGTGGGTCCTTTGCTGTCTCAAACTGCATGGGCTGTGGGTTAAATTGACAGAAAGGACTCTCTTCCCAAGCTGTGGAACTCGCTGCTGCAGGATAGCCTTAGGGCCAGGAACCACTGACAGCGCAGAGCAAATCTGCTTTCAGAGAACCACCGACTGGCAGCAGGGAGAATTATTTCCTCTGGCTCTCTAGAAAAGGACAGCATGGCTGTTGTAGGGGTCCCAGCAGCGAGCTGGGGAGATGTGACCATCTCCTGCCACCCAGATGCCCACGAGGTGGGATGCTTTCTTGCTACGTCACATTGTTATTTCTCACTCGCAGTGTATCTGTGGCTCAGGGCTCATGAGTTGCTCACGAACCGCTGTGCAGTTGGGGGTAAGATGATGCTCTTTGTTCCGTTGGAGCCAGAGAGTTGGTGGCAGCTGGTTTGGAAGAAAATCGAAAAAACAGGAGGGGGCTGGAGGATTTGTCTCTCTATAGCAGTGATTGGGCGAGGTAGAAAACAATTTGCTCTTGTGAGATGAGCAACGAGCACGCTGGCTCATTAGACCTAATTATATCTCAGTCCTACATGTGCTAACTGACATCAGCAACACCCAGGTGCCAGAGCTTTATTGTTTCCAGCAGAGATTTAATCCCACCTGCTGCGCTCTCTCTGTATTTAATATTTCACGCCCCACGCATGGGCTGGGCTGGCTGCTTCTCTGCTCTTGCTCCAGTCTGTTCAACTTTCTCTTCTGCAGATGAGGAAAACTACGAGGTGAGCAGCGATGAGGAGGATATGCCTTTCAAGTGCTTCATCTGCAGAAGTTCCTTCAAGAACCCCGTGGTCACCAAGTAAGTGGTGGTTTTGGCCCGAGGAGCCAAGTGGCTGCTCTCGATCCAGTTCACTAATCGTTCTTTGTCGAGGGAAATGCAAACAGTGCCCACAGGCTGGTGAGTGCCGCCTGCGTGTTGTCTGCTTCCTGGTGGGTGGGGAGCTCCTCTGATAGCCAGGGAGTCTCATAACTGCATCTGGAGCATCTTCTTGGGTGGGATCTCAAGGTTTTGTCATCCAGGCATCTTTCACATTTCCACTGATGGTGCCTGATGACAGAGTCTTTCCCCTTAACCTTGAGATTTTGTTTCCGTGCTGTGCTGGTTTCATTCAAG